TCACAGTAGTTGGATGATCAAGCCTGGAAATCTGGGCATAAACTTTGTGAAGACGTGCCGTCATCACTTTAAAGAGCAAATGACATTAAACACTGTAACTTCATCCGCTGACTAAAAGGTAGGAGTATGAAGCTTCGTCATGTCTTTACGATGGCAAATAGTTTGGGCGCCTCCAGTTTTCACTTAGGATTTCCTTCCTTCTTAGACAGTATTTTCTTAAAAGGATAGATGAATTGCGGCTGTTGTCGTTACGGCTGTCACCTTCATTGATTCAGCCCGTTTCGGCGATGTTCAAGATATTGCTTTAGATCAGGCGCAGTGTGCGTCATCCAGCTTAGCACGTCCTTTTTCCACCGTTTGTTTTTATACACTGCCAGCTAAGACAAAACTTCAACGCATCTCAAAAAGTGTCCCATCAAGTTTTAACTTGTCCTTTTCTTCTCCAGTGCCATCCCTAGGACGAGAAAGCATTCCATATAACGAAGGTGACATCATCTGACGGACATATAAGCGTCTGCTCCAGTCAACGCAGTCGCCGTTTGTTCACGGCGTTAGACAGCTCAATGATGTTGCAAAAGGAACGAATTGTGGCGTTGGATCTACGGTCGATAAATTTGTTCTCCTCACGCATTTCAATCGTATGGTCCACCTCTCATATTGATAAAAATGAAAAAATGGCGGTCTGCAGATAAAGAGACTCAATCAACCATTGATAAACATTTTCACTCCGGCCTAAAATTCCGCTGTCAATTAACAGATTTGCATTTTTACATGGAGGCAATTCAACTGACCACCGCATTTTTTCCTAGTATTCAGTCACCACTGAACTCTGCATGAAAGGCTACTTCACGGTAACTTGCCGTCATCAGCAGAAGAATTTCAGCAAAGTGTAATACAGTTTATAGTAACTGAAATAACAAAGTTTCAAGTCCGCTAATGATTTCTAAAATCTTCAGCTTACCGTAACGCACCAGTTTTCCAGCCGCAACCTGAACGCCACAGAGCAATGAATTTTCCAGTTCTAAACTACTAGGTCGAGTGTCATGAGCGCAAAGCACAATCCCGAC